GGGGTAGAGGTGCAGTAACATAATATGAACTGATAACCTGCTGTATTCTAGGAGTCCATTGGCTTTTTACCTGATCAGGCACGTGGGATTACATGATTGGGTGGGAATATTTTGTGCTGGAGAGAATCCTAACAAGGTTTGGAAAAGAGTAAACAAGGCCTGAGCTTCTAATTTTGGTTGTGTCTGCTAAGTGATTTATATTGTTGTCTTCTTTTATTTCTGAAATAAATGGAATGAAAAATCTCTTGGCAACATGTTTTCTATTCAGATGTCTTCAAATACTTTGTGTTAATCTAGGAAGTTCATACATCCCTTCATCTGTTTTTCTGGAGGTGGTGCAGAAGCTGTAGGTTAGATGTACTTTTTGCAGCTGCCTTTGTTTTAAAAACTCAGTTTTACTCCACAGTTGTGTTTAAATGACTTAAATGACCTGTGTTCTATGCTAAACTGGCCGTGACAAGCGTTGTACAGAAAGCTTAGCTTTTCCCAAAGGTGTGGAGGGCACTAGGCAACACTGGAAGAACAATAATGTTATTTCTTCAAATAAATAAGAAAAAAATCCATTTACAGCTCCTTATTTTGAGAGTGAAGAGACTGTGGACATGACAGAACAGCAGTTTTGTTTTGTTTTTGTGTTCTGTTCCATTAAAATGACACATTCCTTTGTCAGGTTGTTGCAATATGATTTCAGTGATTTGTAAAGCAGAATTGCTCAACATTTTTTTATTCCTGTTGTATTTTAGATGCATATCTCCAGCAGTGGTTTTGGGAATGAATTTGAAACTAATGTTGGGAAATTACAGCTTCTCCAGCAGTACCTCTTCTTTTAAAGGGCCTTCATTCCTAGGTTATTTTCCCTTCCCCAATATATTTGAACTTGAATAGCCAAAAACCATGAGCAAGTGTCAGAATCACATTTGTTGTAGTGAGCTGTGCCAGGAGATAAGGAAGTTCATGGGATTGCTAAATGTTATGTGGGGAGAAAAAGGGTGAGGTAGGTTTGAATCAGGCTTTCCAATGCTTCAAAGATGTTGGAAAAAGCCCTGATTTCCTTTCCTTAGTGCTGCTCATTGGTGGGAATTGCGGGCTGAGTGGCATTTGGGTATCCATAATTTCAACTTCCAGTAAACCAATCACTTTGTTTTGCCAAATATTCCATACCTGTTGCTGATCTTGCAGAAGAAGGCTGTTTGTTCTCTGTTTGTATGTCTGGTCCATGAATTCTTGCAGGCAGGTGAGTCACCATTTTCTCACAAAATGTTTTATGAGGGTGATGAGGTCCCAGCTCAGGGTTCCAGGGGAGGTAGTGGGTGCCACTTCCCTGGAATTGTTCAAGGCCAGGTTGGACAGGGCACTGAGCAGCCTGGGGTGGTGGAAGATGTCCCTGTTCCCTGCAGGGGGATGGACTGGATGAGCCCTCTGTGACTGTCTGTGCACTGTGAGTTCAGATTGCTGTGGGGTGTGGGGCTCCAGCCCAGCGCTGCAGAAGTGAATCGATCCACTGATGATGGGGCTGTGTGTTCTTATCTCCTGCTGATAACAAATTACACAGAGATCTGCAGTGCATGGTAAAGTCTGACCTTTCCCCCCCAGGTAATATTGCAGAGCTCAGCCTGAACTGATGTTTGGGGTCAAAGTTGTGTGGTCATGACACAGGTCATGGCATGCAGAGGTGGACTTGAGCATAACTGCAACTCTCACACTGAGGATTAAACCTTAGCAGTGGCCTAAGGTAATTTTGGACAAAATTGGGAAAATAACTGAGGCTCTCTTTTGATTATTGTAAATGAATTTCAGGCAGTTTTGCCAGGTTTGTAGCATTCAGGATGATTCCAGCTGGGATGGATCAGTAAGATGAAGAAGATTCCCAAAACTAGCCCTGTGTTTGCAAAAGTTTATAAAGTGGTGCATTGTTACACAGTCTGGGAAAGCAAATGAAGGCTGAACAAGGAGGCAGTGGTGTAAAAATAACAAGTGAGGTATTTTATAGCTGACTGTTAATGATGACACTTTTGCAGCGTGGATTGCAGAGCAGAGCCTGTGTGGTTTAATTGATGAAAGCTTGGACTTTGTCACGCTGGAATTCCACCTAAAGTCAAGTTTCAACCCGGAGCAGCTGGAAATCTCCTTGCACTGCAGGCCTTCAAGAGCTGGGCTGAAATTTGTTCTCAGATTACAGACTAAAGCTTGATAAACTGGTAGTTTTACTTTTTTAATGAAAAAATTCACTAAATATTTTTACATTCTGCAACTCAGAGCAGTTCAAGTACTGTAAATCTCTAATGGACCGAGTCAGAAGGAAAACTTCCTTTCCTGTTTCATAGCATGTGATGAACCACAGAAATCCCTTATATAGATTTGCTGTGTCTGTTAATTTCAGTATTTATTCTTTGCTTGTTTCTCTCAGGTTCCCCAGTTTTAAACTTTGACCAGGATTGAGAACTTTGGGTTTTTTTATTGTTTGTTTGGGGTTTTCTTCCAGTGCAACAAATCCTTGTCCCTGTGATTATTGATTCAGAATTGATACATAAGTAGATACACTTTCCTACCCAAACTAGTGTGATTCTCTTTTCCACACTTGGTAATCTTTGACCTTGTGTGTTTAAATGTTGTAAGATTTATTGAGGAAGGAGGGTGATGGCAGGTACTGGTTACAGACTAAGTTACAGTTGCAACACTCCCCAAACTGAATGAAAATACAGAATTTCTGCATAGTCATAGCTCCTGTGTTCTCTACAAGGTCTTAACAACACTCTCAGCTTTGTGGAGGGAAGCTGGAAAACCAGGAATGAAGAAGTTTTTGGTGTGTGCGCAGAGTCCAAGGTGCTTTAGCCACTCAGTACTTTTCGTAAGAGATTTTATTGGGAAAAATACTTCACTTTGAATTTAAACTTTCAGTATTATTTCAAGTAGGAACTGTCTTCCCTGAACCTCTGATTCCAAGATACCAGTGTAAGAAAATAATGAATTTTTGCCCTTCAGAGTTGCAGGAATCAAGGCTGTATTTTAGAGTAAGCCAGTTAATATTTTGTATTGTTTTCATCATCGCTCACATTTAAGGAAGATACTTGACTGCTAATGCTGATTTCTTTTTTTTTTTTCACTCTGTTTTCATGTACCATAACTTTTTTACAGGAGTGGAATTTTTTTGTTTTGGGTTTGTTTTTTGTTTGTTTATGCTTTTCTGTTGGGTTATATGACTAATTTATATGTGTTTCCTTCTTTGGGCCTCTCAGTGATACCTTCTTTGTAAAATCTCATCCAGCTATCCAATATTTTCCTGAGGGGGTGCAGGCAGCCTTTCATCTGAGACTGATACTGGTAAGATTGCTCAAAGGTAACCCAGGGAAGACTTGGAAACTGCTCCTGTTTACTCTGGCATTGATCCATATATTGCTTAGTCTTTATTCCATAGTTATCCACAGCCGTTCATCTCAGTCTTGCTCAATCCTCTTGCACACCTGTCCTCATTGGAGCACTGTTGGGTCCTCAAACAATGGAAACATTCACAGCTCTCTTTTTTAATTGCATTTTGACTTGCAGGGGTCCTGAACTAGGAGCCAAATGATGTCAAAGGTCCAAAAATCAAATTATGATCTTCAAAATCAGGTCTTTCATCTACCCAATAAATCATTTTCAGAGGCTGCTTAAGGTAATTTTAAAAGGCCTTTTGAAGTAGTGGAAATGTGTTTGTGAGTAAGTGACGCTGTTGTGACTTCTGCTTTATTTCTTAATTCTCCCACAGAGCTTTTGGGAATTGCTTCTTTTATTTGTGTGGGTCAGGCATTGTACTTTGTGCTGTTAACCTCTAAACATGATTGCACTTTTTCCAAGGCAGGAAAATGGTTTAATAGCAAATCTTTCCCTTGTTCTGGCTGACTGTGCAGGGTTAAAGGTTTTTAAGTAATTCAGCCAATCATTGCACAAGTAGTACAGAGTCCACTTGTTACATCATCAGAGACTTTTTTATATCTTTTTACCTCTCGAGTTTTCTATTTGTTAACTTTGAATAATTGAAAAAAAAGTGTGGTAACTGCTAATATTTAAGTGGATTTTGTTGTTCCCATAGTCTCCTTTCCAAAAGCTGGTCTTTTATTTCAGGGTCTGAGTATGTACTCACTGTAGTACTCACTTGAAACAAACAGGCTTTCTTACTAATTAATGGAAAGATACTGTCTCCTCTCAAGGGTGATTCAAAGTACCTGGATCAGCCTCTTTCACTGACTCACCTTCTGCCTGGCACAGCCAAAATCTGAGGTGATCTTGGTTTAGCTGCAACAGCAACTTTTGGATTTGACCAAATGTCTGTAGGTGATTTATTTTACTTTTGGCTTACCTTTCTGCAGTATAATCTTAGTCCTGTATAGGTGGGGAGTGTATGTGGAGTGTGCACATGTCTCAGCCCAACACAAAGTCAAAAACCCCCCTCAAACCAGATAAATTTTGAACAGAGCAGAGGCCTTAAGCTGGTTTTAACCACGTGTGTTTCTTGGCCTTGTGACAATGAGGATGCTCTAGAGAACAGTAATGAAAACACATTTATGTTTTTATTCACTGCATGTGCCCTTGCTACAGTCTAAGTGTTGTTTGTAGTTTATCCTAATTTATTGTAGTTTAGGCACATTGCTGGAAACACCATGTTAATCCAAAATCCTTTGCAGTTTCGAATTCAAGTAAGCAAATGCTGTATCAAGCATTAAACCCTCCACATGAGGAAAACAAAACAAAAAACCCCAAAACCCATGATCAGAGGCCTCTGACATGAAGTTAACTATGTGCAGCTCCACCAGTCCATGATCTGACTTGAGGCCATGCCCAGGCTCAGAAATGCTCAGACTCAGCAAAGAGCTCCTCCCTCTACTAACAATTCACCTTCTGCTCGCCCTGCCCACTCTTAACATATCTGAACCATAACCCCAAGAAAAACCAGAAGAAAAATTTGGGCAGTTTCATCTATATTGGAATTTTATCCCTCAGTCCTTACTCACTTTCTTCTGCCAGAGAGTCCCTTGTGTTTCCTGCCCCTCAGCTTGCTGGGAATGCAGCCGTGGCAGGCTGTGAATGGTAGCACCAAGCCTTGTCCTTCATTTGTGCAGGTAGGCATCGTGCCAGAGCTCTCCCGAGGTCTTCAGGGAGCTGGGAGAGAGAGAAAGAGAGGACATGTCACAGGGCTGCTCAGGGGAGTGTTGCTGGGACAAGGGAATGAGGTTTTGTCTGTTTTCTGCTCGTTTCCCAGAATCCTGCAATAAGCTGAGCTGAGAGAGACCCACAAAGATCGAGTCCAACTCAGCCCTGCACAGCACCATCCCCAAGAGTCACCATGTGCCCAGGAGGGTAAAAATAGAGCAAAACAACTCTTGCTCTTAGGATTGCAGTCTCTCCTGCATCCCCCTACAATTTGGGAGTTTATTTTTACTCACTGCACGATGTCTGCGAAGGCTGTGAGCAGAGGCTTGCACTGGTACTCGAGGCCATGCTTGGCACACAGGGACTTGACCAGAGGGGCCACCTTCCAGTAGTTGTGCCGTGGCATCGTAGGGAAAAGGCTGTGAACAGGAGACAGGCAAGCTTCACAGGAAATCCTAATCACTAGTGCTTCCCAGGAATCACCCAGCTCACAATGAGCAGGGTCTCTAGCTGCTCCCAGCTCTTCTTTCCCCCTGCTGTGCTTTTAGCACAAGGAACTCGTAGGGATTTCCTGCTTTCCCCTCTGTTCTTTTCCACAGTTTGTCTCTAAATTAAATGATGTTTATGGAAGAAACTACTTTCCCCTCCCTCCCTCCCTTTTTCTAGAAGTAGCCCTCTCCATAGTACAGAGGAGTAGATGAGCCCATCTTTCATCCTTGCATATCTCACTCTATAGAGTAACAGCATAAAAAATCAGCAGAGGTGGCTTTAAACTCCTGTGGCAGACTAAAAACAGGTGCTTTAACCAGGACATTTCCATTGATCCTTAAAACTTACAACTTGGGATTTACTCTATTGCTGTTCTTGCATTGATCCTGCCCCTGTTGCATTTTCTCTTGTCATCCTGTGGATCCAGTCAAAGTTGAATTATATGATTCTCTTAAAGGAGTTTCAAGTTTTAAAGGCAAATTCATTGCTGCCCCACAACTATTTGTAGAATTCAGAGGAAAAAAGAATAAGAAAGGAAAAAAAAAAAACCAAAAGAGAGAAGGGAAGATAGTTTTTAAAAAATGAGGAGAAAGAAAATTCCCTCTTGGGGTGAGTACTCACTGATGCTCAATCTGGAAGTTGAGGTGCCCTGTGAACCAGTCATTGAACAGCGACTGCTCCACGTTGCATGTTGCCAGGAGCTAGAGGAGGGGAGAGAAAAGCAAAGTCAGAGACAAGTCAAGAGTATGTTTAGGAACCAGAGCTCAACCTTGATTTAATTTTGGATTGCCCATGAGCGTGTCATTGCTGTACTCCTTTACCTTTTCCATGACTGAATCCATCAGCCTATTAACCTTCACCTCCCAGCAACCAACAGATTTCACCCTTAATGCAACAGGAGACTTGCTTATGGTTAAAATTTATACCTGTATGGCCACAGTTCTTAAGAAGGGGAAAAATCTTTTACCTGAGTAGACATCCAGTCCAAATTCTTGTCATAGTCGATATCCATTGGGATGTGGTTCATCTGTGAGACCCAGACAAACCAGCTGCTCTCCAGCATCCTGTGCAATGAGATGAGAGAATTCAGTGCTGGGTGAGCAGTGAGGAGCCATTGAAATAATGTCAAAGCCAGACTTAAAGACGTGGCTGAACACTAGCCTTGCTAAGCCAGCACCTGGAAGGACTTCCAAACTCTGGAATTTTAATATTTCCTTATGAAACTCATGATTATTTCATGTGTTTTGTTTAATACTGACTGGTGTTCAGCTTGTTTTATCTTTAGCCAAGGCCCAAACTGATTAGAATCAGTGAAATGATCCAAGGGGCGAGTGTGCTGTCCATTCAAGTCAGTGCTGCTGGATAATACCTGGGCATTTGCAAGCCCAGGCTAAGCTGTTTTGGTTAAATGTGCTCTTTAAGCAGCAGCAGACTTAACACCCAAAGCACTGAATGTTATATGAGGTAAATATTTCTCAATTTGGTCAGCACGCAGTGAAATCTCTTTGTTGCCACAACTAATGGAGCAACATAAAACTTGCACTGGCAATTGAACAAAAGAATTTATGAACTAAAAAGTAGGCAAAAAAAAAAAAAGGTGGTAAAGGAGAATGTGGCAATATAAACATAGAGAAAGGTAGGCAGGTACAGATGGAAAGAATGCATAGAAAAGAGGCTGAAGAACCTTCTAAAAAGACATCACCTGAATATAAAATAATATGCCAGGAGACTCTTTGTTTCTAATAAAGATCCGTAAGTATAAAAGAATCTGATGTAGAAGGTCAGCATCCAGGCCAAGTCCTGCCAAAACCAGAGAGAACAAGAAAAGCAGATCTTCATAAATTACATTTGCTTATTTATTTTTTAAGCTTCATAGTATAAGAGAATGATTTACTTTCAGCTTTGACAGTTTTTTTCTGAATGGAATAATCTAGAGCAATCCAACACAAGCCTATGATACTTTCTCACAGCTTGCTGTAAGAGGTGAATCAGCTCAGCAAGGAGCTGGCTCCATGCTCAGAAGGAAGGCTGAAGGTGCCCGTCTGACCCCTTTTGGTCACACAAGGAGCAGTACTCACCGCCCAGTACTTCTTTGTGTAGGCAATGTAGAATGTGTGGCAGTGGAAGTAGGTGGGGAACAGGAGCGGAGGAAGAGCTGGAAAGAAAAATGCATCACTGGTGACATCATGGACTGGGTGACATCATCAGCCTGGGAGGGGAAGGGTCCTGAATTCCTGCTCAATCTGGAGAACATTCCAGGTTAGGATGTTGGTTTAGTGCCTTGAAACATTTCTAGGTCTGACAATTAATCTGAGAGTTCTTACAAACCTCAGATTTCATCTTAGGCTCTTGACTGAGGAACAGCCACAAATGATTAATTTGAGAAGTGGTTTCCACAGCCCAAAGCTTATCTGGCTCCTTATTTCTTGGTGCAAAGCAGGGGAACAACAGGAATGAATATGAAATCCCTTTTGAAGAACTCAAACTCAGCCTTCCAAAAGGACATCTCACTTGCACTTAAAACCCCAAGAAACCAAAGCAAACCAAACAAAAAAACCCTGAAACCCCAGACTTTGATACTACTGAAAGATGTGGTATGATATCATAACCCAGAGCCTCTGTGGAGGATGTGGGAGATCTGGGATAAGATGGTCAGGTCTGGTTGTTATTACTTTGGGTTTTTTTATTGTGTTCTTTGATTCAGGCACCTTTGTTTTTCTCATGTTCTTCAGGTCAAAAGTAGAATCTCCAAGCCCCTTTAATACCTCACAGGGAATTGCAGGAGGATAGAGATACTCACTGATGAAGAAGTATTTGTGTTGGTGGTTGTAGGGCATGTATTTTTTCTTTTTGATCCCAAGCTGTGGGGGGGAAAAAAAAAAAAAAAACAAACAAAAAAAAACCCAGAAAAAAAATATATTAGTGAAGACCAAGCAATTTGCACAGGTAACTTGCTCTTTTTAATTTCTTTTCCAGAGGGGCTCTTCTTGCACACTTCCCACAACCCTCATTCCTTGTTTCATGATTCATTTTGTGAAGAATTAGATCTATCAAGGCTAAGTTATGTTAGTGGTCAGAAATATGTATTTTCTCTCATTTTTTCCCCTTGTTTCTGCTCTGATTCTCTAAACCTAAATGGCAGTTCAACGATGACCTGGAGAAGAATATTTCACTGCTGTAGCTGCTGTGATGGTGTCAACAACTGATGGGATCTACAGCAAAAGGGGTTCAGCACTCTTAGGTTGTCACTTCTGGCAGTGTCCGAGCAGGACAAACTGGGAATATCCTACACAGTCCAACAAATTTTGCCCAACTGGAGTTCCAGGAACAGCCTGGGTTTTTCAGTCCTGCTGTTCCTGTCACAGCACACTCTCCTAGAATACACGGACACATCAAAGCCACCCTTTTGACTGAGCTTCATACATTCATATTAAAATAATAATTCCAGGATGACTGCAGCCATGCTGTACATTGATTGATGTTTACAAGTTATCTAATGATCATTAATTACTGAGTTGCTGTTCTAGGTCATTAGGTTTCTCCAGCCATGAATGTGCTGGTGGATTTTCCACCTTATATACAATGCCTTACATCATGTCTGATTTATTTACATCAACATATCAGCTGTTTGGGAGATTCTTAAAGGGACTTAGAGTGAACTGTAGGGAAATAAACCTCTTTACAGAAACTGCCATCACAACTTAGGTTTAGACTTGCCACACCCTTTCACTGACCTCCACAGAGAATTTCTTCCCCAAAGTGAAGAGGAAAGGGTGCATATCAATGTCAGGGTCCTTGTGGAAGCAGTTGGGTTTGGCATGGTGCTGGGAGTGCAGGAGGGTCCACCACTTGGCAGAGGCCCCCTGTTCAAGGGAAGAACAAAGCATTAAAAGCACTTTCAGAGCCAGAATTCCCTTTACTTCCTGACCCTAATTCTTCCCCCAGTGCTGCACATGCTCCACAGAGTCTTCAGAACATGTGTTTTTACAGGAAAAGCCTCAGAAGTTTTCCAGGGACTCACAATCAAATGGCACATCACAAACTTGTGTAGCAAGTGGTTCCACTTGGTTTTCCTGAATACTGAGAGGTGTCCTAAATCATGCTGTAACCAGGAAGCCTGGACCTGGAGGAGGAGAAAGAAAACTTTAGGAGGGGAGAAAAAGAGGAATTGAGATGGGGATGGTGCCACACTCATCCTTTGCCTTGAAATAAGATTTATTTTCCAGACACTGCTCCCAAGTCACCAGCAGAAAGGGACTGCAGAATCCTGACAGTCCCAAGGTTTCCCCCAGAATATATCTTGCTGAAAGAATCCCAAACTAAGTTTAGTGTGAGCTCTCCACATGCAGAATTTCTTCTTGGTATCCAGATCCTGGCTGTGTTTTTATGGCAAGTGAGGAAGAAAAGGACAAGAAACTGCTCACGTGTGTGTGTAGGTTGATGCAAGTCCACACTGTGGAATTCGTTGCTCACCTGGGAAATGGTCAGCAGCAGCAGGGAGAAAACAAAGGGCAGTAAGGATGTCCCAAAGTAGAAGAGGATGAGCCAGGCAGCTGTATCCAGGAGCAGGATGTGAGCCAGGAGCAGGAAGAAGAAGAGTTGGTTTGGCTCCAGGAGTCCCATTCTCTCGACTGTAGAGCGCAATTCCCGGAAGTCTTTCACCAGCATTTCCTTGGGAAAGCATCAGGTTTACAAGTATCTGGTTTTAGACAGCACCACTGCAGCCTCATAACCCAAAAACCACTCTAATGGGGGGAGAAAGAACAAAGGATCTGGCTAAAAGGGCAAGAGCTGGGTTTAATAAACGTTATCATTGCTCTGCTACAGCTTTTTGTTGAGGACCCAGGAGCAGCCATCACAATGTCTGCATCCCAGTCCCTAAAAAAAATCCTCGGTGCTCCTTCCATCAAATCCTTGGCAGGCAGCAGAGGGCTCAGCTGGAAGTTGTGTTTAGTGGAAGCTGTACTTTGTGTGCATGAACTTCCCATGCCACCTTGTGGTAGGTCTTTGCATGAAATTGTTCCTTATATTTGTCTTCACTTAGCTCTTCCCAGGATTAGCAGGGGAGGGTTAAATGCACCTACAGCTGAAGGAGAATATTCTCCAAGACTATTCCTTTTCCTTTTGGTTAGCTCTTCCTCAAAGCAAGAGAAAGAAGAGGTGATAACTCTGCTATTTTGGTAGAGTGGCTGTGATAAGAAAAATTCATCTTCAGGAATTTCATATTTACACATTGTTTTTAAGTCATAGCTCAAAAATGTGAGGAACCTGGTTCTCATTGCCCCAGGAGCTATGCTGATAGAGAAGAACAAGGTGTAATCTCAGAATATTTCCCTTTAGTCTCCTTTGATCTCTTTTGTAAGGACAGACTTACATTTTTAGTTGGCTCAATGCTGGGTTGGTCTGGTGCCAGCTCCCCAATCTGCAGTGGCTTCAAGTACTTGCTCACCAGCACCTTGTCAACGTGGAATGCCACAAAGGCATCCTGCAAAGGCACAGCAACAAAGGAAAAGAAATCCAGATTTTGTAAAAAAAAAAAAATAAAAAATTGCCTTTTGAATAACTGCATTCCTGGAAGTGTCCAAGGCCAGGTTGAAGCAACCTGGTCTGGTGGAAGGCATCCTTCCTTTTTTATCCTTTGTGAGAGAACACAACAATAAAAAGCAGCACTGAGGACTCCACAGTTTCAGTGTGCAGTGTCACCCTTTCTAAAATGTTGGCATTAATTATATTGATTTTTTTAATTCCCTGGGTTTCTTTGCTTACTGAGAGCCTTCTCTCCTGAGCTGCCACCTTTCATGGGTTTCTGCTTTTGGTTAAAATCTTCCAGTTCAATTAAGATAATTTCTTAATTTTTCATAACATATATGCAAAAGATTAAGCAATGGACCTAATGCAAGATGGACAGACACAAAAGTGGCTCAGATCCTGGAGGGCTTAATGATTTGGACATGGAACCAACTACCTACCAACCTGGCTCAGATCCCAGAAACAAAATATATGGTTCATCCATTGTCTGGGATTTTCCAGCATGCTAAAATAAAAGAAATCTGGCAGTAGTAACTTGAGAAATGAGTGCTGAAATTACAGAATGCAAAGTTCAACTAATACACAATTTGAAATTTAAACTTGATGGACTGAAAATTATTTTGATTTCCATGAGCCTCAAATATCCCTTATATATGGAAAAAATTGCTGCAGCTTGCAGCAACTACACAAGCACGACCAGGAGACAAGAGGAATCCTGAAGACTTAAGAATCAGAGAATGGTTTGGGTTGGAGGGGACCTTTAAAGCTCCTCTAGTCCAACCCCCCTGCAAAGAGCAGGGACATCTTCAACTACATCAGATTGCTCCATCCACCCTGACCTTGAGTGTGTCCAGGGGTGGAGCATCTCTGGGTGACCTGTGCCAGTGTTTCACCATCCTCATCATCAAAACCTTCTTCCTTATATCCACTCTAAATTGACGCTTTTTTAGTTTAAAGCTAATCTCCTTTGTCCTGTCCCTCCGGGCCCTTGTCCAAAGTCCCTCTCCGGTTCTCTTGCAGCCCTTTAAGTACTGGAAGGGGCTCTGAGCTCTTCTTAGAGCCTTCTCTTCCCCAGGCTGAACACTCCCAGCTCGCAGAGGTGCTCCAGTCCTCTGAGCATCTCCATGTGCTCCTCTGCTCTCGCTCCAGCTGTTGCTCTGATTTAACTGGAGCAACACTTCCGACCCCGTTCCCGTGGGCTTGCCCTTTCCCATGGCATGGGGATGGCGAGGCTCTCGCGGAGCGGTCACACTTCCCTCCCCCGACTCTGTCCCATACCCCCATTCCCACTGAGATCGTTCCCAAGCCCTCTCCGCACGACTTTTCCCGGGCGCCCTCCTCCGGCGCATCCCGGCTCCCGCATCCCCGCTCCGCTCACCGTGGCGTCCTGCCCGGCGTGGCTGACGAGGAGCCGGGCCCCTCCCGGGTGTCTCCGGCAGAAGTGGCTGGGCTGACGAGGAGCCGGGCCCCTCCCGGGTGTCTCCGGCAGAAGTGGCTGATGTCGTACACCTTCCTGTCGATCACCAGCCAGCGCTCCTGCGGCGCCGGCCCCCGCCCGTTCCGCTGCCCGATCTCCTCCCAGGTGAAGCGCCGCATCCCCGCTGCGGGAGCTCCGTCCCCGTCCCCATCCCTGTCCCCATCCCGCATCTCCCCGCCGCCCCCCGGCGGTGCCATCCTGCCTCCTGCCCTCCTCCCTCCCGCAGCTGCAGCCCGCATCCCGCTCCGCCGTGGCATTTAAGGGAGGGAGCCGCCCCGGCGCCGCTCCCCGCCTCCTCCACCCGCTCCAGCTCCTCGGGGTTGGGTTTGCCCCCCAAAATTGCCCCTTTCCCACCCTGCTTCTGCATCCTCAGTACCCTCGGGTGGGGGTACCTGACTGCTTAGGGGGGTCCCCAGCAGGTTCATTCCATTCTCAGGATAGGTTTAGTCAGAGAAATCTTCCCTTAAAATACTCCTCTGATTAACCAGAAAAAATATCACTCTGTAGCTTCATTTTTGATGTTACAGTCCACAAACCCCTTGGATGAAACGTGAATTAAGCATATTCTTACGTCCTACTAAAAATACCCAACAACCGAACCACACCAATCTCCAGAAAACTCAGTATTAACACCTGCTGAAACCCTATATTTCAGTCCAGTTTTCCAACACTCACAGCGAGCAGGGAGCTCCCACAGAGCCCATGGCAGGAGTAATCCTCAAAGCTCTGCCCTGGCTGCTTCTGTTACCTGGGATAAACCTGGGATGGCACACATGGAATGCTGTACCAGGTTCTGATAGCTGATTGTGAAACTGCTGTTTCTTCCCCTCCCACTGCCCCCTTTGTGTTTGTAAAATTATTAATTAGACTTGGAGGCTCCAGGAAACGAGCATTAATTGCAGAACAACACTTGGTGCCACTCTTCCTTTCCCTCTAAACCGTCACAGCATGCACATAATTTTCTCTTCTTAAAAGAGATCCAATCTTGAAAATTTAAAACTGTGATTGACTGAATGATTTCTTTATCCTGTAGAAAACCACCTGTTAAAACCCACAACAGCAACAACCCAGATGGAGGAGCCCACAATTAGGACAGGCTTTTCAAATTGCATAATTAATTTATCTTAGATACCATCTTTTGATGATTAATTAATTTGAATTGATTTCTTTACATTTATAACATTTCTCATGCATCTACTTGCCCTTTTATTTTTCTCAGTGCTTGTTTGCTCTTGAGTCTACTTGTGCTGGTAAAGCTCACACTTGACAATGATTCTGCAGTCGAGATTTCCAAAAGAAATGTTGATGCAAAAGAAGAACTCTCATCTAGTTATCTCAATCAAACTGTTTACACAATATTTCCAGCTCTTCTCCTTTACAGGAAGATGCGAAAATCCTAAAGCTGATTTCTCAGCCCAGCTCCCAGAGACAGCCAGTGCAACAAGGTGCCTTAAAAAGATGTTTAAAAGCTGTTATCATCAACCTGTTTTTCTTGTTCCTAGTCACAGTAGGCACCATTTCCTCCTGATTCCTGGGCTTTGCCATCCCACCATCACATTTGGTGCTTTTTGCAGAATGTATTTTTATAACATTTGAGATAAACCACTTCCAGCACACCAGCACATACCTTCAGGAGTGCAGCACAACTCCTTCCTTTTAGCTTCTCCTCTTACGCTGAATACTCAATATTGAATATTCAGCATAAAAGGAGGAAGAATCCACTCCCTTCTTGTCTCGTGTTCATACCTCTTAGCTACTTTATGGAATTATTAAGGTGGGAAAAGACCCCAAGATCATGGAGCCCAACCTTTCTCTGATCCTAAAATCCTGCACAAGGTAAAATGGGTCAGTAAGACAAGGAGGCAAAAACTTCCTCCCCAAATGGTTTTTAGTGTATGGAGCACACAAAATAACCCCAAACACCACAACTTCTGTGCACTATTCCAGTACCTAAAGGAGCTCCAAGAAAGCTGAAGATAGACTTTGGACAAGGGCCTGGAGTGCCAGGACAAGGGGGAATGGCTTCAAACTGACAGAGGGTAGGGTTAGATGGGATGGATATTGGGAAGAAATCCTTCCCTGTGAGGGTGCTGAGGCCCTGGCACAGGTTGCCCAGAGAAGCTGGGGATTCCCCATCCCTGGAAGTGTCCAAGACCAGGCTGGACAAGGTTTGATCCTGGGGATGTCAGGAGAAAAGTATGAGCTTAGCTGGAGTTTTAGATTTTTTAAAAACTGCCCTTGAGCACCCAAAATGGTAGTGAGGTTTTAAGAACTCACATGGATTTATGTCAAGCCCTTGATAACTGAAGCTTCCATTACCTCAGGATGAGCCAGGTAACCTGCTGAGAGAAGGAGCTGCCTGTCACATGCAGGACACTCATGACATTATCACTGTGTCAGACACTGCTCTGATAGGAATGCTGATAACAGCACCCAGTTCCATTGTATAGAAGGTCCTTCCAAAAGGGACAGTTGTTTTGGGAACAAACCCTTCGTAAATCTGCACCACAACCCTTACATCACCAAGGTTCCAGATCCTCAGTTTTTTTACCCACATTATTCAGCACTGATTGGTTTTGCAACCTGTCTTTTCACAACAAAGATGTCAGCTGCTAAAAAGATAAGCATCAAATTATGAGTTGATAGCTATCTGATAACCATTGTTCCTTCACACATCCCACAGCTTTATGCTCCTGCAACCCAGCCTTCCTTTCCTTGCACTGTACCAAAGCTGCATGATGGTCCTTTCTGGAACTTTTGTCTTAATACATATGTCATCAAGCCTGAAAAAAAATATTTGGGACAAAACTAAATGAACTTCTTGTGCAGATTAAATTCTGATTTTTTCCAAACTGAACTGTTGCACTTCCTAAGTGATGAATATATTTGCTGCCTGCCAAAGGAACTCCATTAGTTCCCTTTCTGCGTGTCATGAACATGGCAGATTCTGGAGAGAAACACTGATTAGATGATTGACACCAAAGGCATGAGGAGGTCAAGCACCTTCATAAATGAACAAGCAGGGATCTCCTCTCTCTTAGAGACAGGAGAAAATAGAACAGAATGGAATACAACAGAATATTTCAGTTGAGTTGGTTGCAAGGGACTATCATTTAATCACTTAGATCATTTAGATCACTACAAATATCATGCCTGACCACTTCATGGCTGGCCAAAAGTTAAAGCCTCTACCATTGCTCAAAGGCTTCTTAAACACTGCCAGGCTTGAAGCATCACCCACCTCTTGAGGAAAAAGGAAAAATAATAAAAGGAGCACTAATTAAGCAGAGTAACTCAGAGCAAAACATAAATAAAAATATAAATAAATAAGTTATTAAATATAAATAAATAAACCATTTAGTCATAAAAATGCAATTTATAAAAGAATGCAAATTGTATCTATAAGTTATTCTTTTGCAGCCTGTAACCTCTGTTCCTTCTTTTTTCTTATTCTTTTCTTATTCTTTCATGTGATGCAACTCCTTAGAGGAATGTTCTCTATTCATTCCTCACTATTCCTAGCAGGATCTGAGCAAGTCCTTGGAGTTTACTTGGAGTTTTACAGCAAACTGGAAGGGACACCATGGCAAGGACTTTTGAGGGTCCTGATGTTCTGCTGCTGAGAACTGACTATGCTGTTTTGGTGATAACTTAGCCACAAAGGGGCAGGGCACGGCTTTCCTCCTGCCAGCACGGGTGATTAGAAGAGGCCTCTAGGGAGCGGGCAAACCAGGGCGTGGAGACCCAGTTCGTGCAGGCTGGGTGGCAGGTTTCCTCCTCCTAGTGGGGTTTTTATTCAGTTGGTCGGTGGGTTTTGGGTTTTTTTGTTAGTAATGGGTTTTACACGATCAAAAGCTGCAGTTAGTACAAGAGTATGTAGCCAAATAGAACCCTCCAAAAAGGATGCTTCTGTCCAGACCCATTCCTGTGCAGTGTTTGAGCTTATCAGTGGTTGCAGGGGGCATTGCAGAAGAAGCCTGCTTGCGGTGTGAACAGGTGAATGATGCCCTTTTGCTGGTGGCTGAGCTCAGGGAGGAAGTTGAAAGACTAAGGAATATCAGGGAAAGTGAAAGGGAAATCGATTGGTGGAGTTCTGCCCTTCCACCCTCGAGGGAGGCCCAATAGGAGTCAGAGGACTCTCATGCCTCCCACTGTCAGGCGCCTGGTGGATGAAGAGGAGTGGAAATGGGTCCCTGCTTGGGGAGGTAATAATAAAAATTCCTCCCAACCCCCATCTCCTACCCGGGTGCCACTTCAGAATAGGTATGAACCCCTGGATCTGGAGAGTCAGATGATTTAGAGGAAAATTATCTGCCCAGTGAGCCTCCCAATTACACTTCATCTGTCAGACAGATCACTGCCTCTGACATTAAAAAGAAAAGAAGGGTAGTCCTTGTGGGTGACCCCCTTCTGAGGGGAGCAGAAGGCCCCATGACCCGTTGACCAGACCCGCCCCACAGAGAGGTCTGCTGCCTCCCTGGGGCCCAGGTACGGGATATCACTGAGAGATTCCCTGGGCTGATTCAGCCCACTGAGTATTACCCACTGCTGATACTCCAGCCTGGCAGTGATGGGATTGAAAAGAGGAGCATCAGGGTAATTAAAAGGGACTTCAGGGCACTGAGTTAAGTGGTTGATAGGGCAGGTACACAGGTAGTTTTCAGGTAGTCAGGTGGCAGAGAAAAATGATGAAAGGAGTAGGAGAGCTCACATCATCAACAAGTGTCTCAAGGGTTGGTGGCATCAGCAGAATTTTGAGTTCTTTGATCATGGGGCAACTTATATTGTGCCTGGCCTGCTGGAACCATATGAGCACCATCTCTCTGTTAAGGGCAGAAGGATTTTAGCTCATGAACTGGCAGAACTCATTCAGAGGGCTTTTAACTAGGTTTGAAGGGGGTAGGGGATGCAGCTGGGCTGTCTGGAAGCAGGCCCAAGGGTGGTAAACCTGAGATAGGAGTGAAATCAGTAGCCCAGCAGAGGTGCACATATACTGATGCACGCAGCATGGGTAACAAACAAGAAGAGCTGGAGGCCATGGTGCAGCAGCAGAGCTGTGATGTAATTGCCATCACGGAAACATGGTGGGACAGCTCGCATAGCTGGAGCACTGCACTGG